AACGTAGAGATGGAATCATTGATTACGCACTTACAGCAGCCTCTATCAGAGTTCACCATGTATGTCTTACACTACATCTCTGGTTTCATAGTTTCAAAATTGCTCAAGAAAATACACTGTCCACAGTGTATTGGTGACATTACAGCTTCAGCCAGTCACAATCAAGTGCAAACCTACAAACCATGTGATGACATGTATGACAAAGCCTCTTCATTCACTTCCTTTATCAACAAAGGTGGTCTTCACATTCCTTCACCGTTTACTCTTAAAGTTGTGGCAAGTGCAGAGCAAGTATTCAAGTGTTATGTGTCATCAGGTAACCATAACAAAATCTCCAATACGAAGAAGCTGAAAGAAAAAATGTTACAAGAAGTCAGCTACAAGTTTGCTGAAAACGGTACAGAACAGGAAAGCCATGGATATTGCTTGAGTGAAACACTGTTTGACAACCACAGTGTGTGGCTTATTAAATTCATTGCAGATCAATTTTTCAGATTGAGATTGTTCACCTATGCAAAAAGGTACAATGAAAATGTTGTGAGAGCAGGAAAACCAAGTAAAAGGCACCAACTGAACAAATATACTTTGTTTCGAAACGAATGATTTAGTTTAATTAATAACTAATCGATCTTCAAATAATGTATTTATAAATATAGCCATGCAATATGTTTTTTATTGCATTCTTTGATACAAAGTTTTTAAAATTGAATACATACAATTTGTTACAACCTTACCTGGCAATGTTATTCTTTCTAGAGAGGTAACTTATGCCGTATATTTGTTGTGTTTACAAAACTGACCGAGTTCCACTCATACACGTTGCCGCCATATTGAATTTTAACCGTTCGTGCGCGGAGGTCTGGTTCGGTACCCAAGCAGCCTTCATGATCCGTTCGGTACCCAAGCAGCCTTCAATGTACTAGAGCGAGCCTTCCATATGTATAGAGTTCACTGGAAGGGACTAAATGGATTCCCGAAATATCACATATTCGAGCCCTCTTGACCTTGTAGCTCAGTTGGAAGAGCATTGGACTAGCAAATTAAAGGCCGTGGGTTAATTTCAAAGTTTATAGTCATGTCCGCCGGCGTCAGAAAATTTCAAACAATTCTACATGACCTTCTTCGGAATTCTCCAGATTTTTCAACCGCAAAATTTATAACCCTTTACAAGTTAACTTCGAAAATATTATGACGGAAAATCTTTTATAGCAGTCTTATTACCGCGCCTGTGCAGGCAAGCAATAAGCATTAGCCAAAAATTGACATGTCTTTATTTATTCCTTCATCGCTAACCTAACTATACGTAGAAATAATACTAAATTACTGTTTTTCACTGCTACAAATACAGAAAAGATTTGAAGTCATTCATTCAAGTTACTGCATGTCATATCTTAATATTTTTGTACGAGGTGTCTTCATTTGAAATATGATATTTCATAATGGGAATGCAATGTCGTCATTATCAACCGGTACAATGGCATCAAGGGCACCATATTGGGGACAATTATTCCAGTAAAGCATGGGTTTTTCTTGGATGCCATCTGTAGTATTTGAAAAGCATTGGTCCCTCGTTCCACGGTGAGGTCCAGCTTGGAATCTCCATCCGTGTAATTAGTGAAGTGTAGTCTAACATGAACTGAGATGGTCTGAAATCATGAAATTGCAGCACAAGGAATTTATAACGTCAAATTTTCGTTGTTTTCAATTCACTACATGGGGAAAGATTATTACATTTAGCCTCAACGGACAACGATGTCCTTTGAGTTTTGCCAAATATTTTTTCAAAAATAGGAAATTTTATTATATGAGTATATCGAGATTTACTATTGGCACAAAGAATATATTGGAGATCGTTCCTCGCCAAAGTAAATTGACCGCAGATATTTCTTCACTACTGAGGTTGTCCTATGCACGTCAATTTGGCAGAAATTTTTTTTACTTAATGTTCGAGATAACTTCGAAATACAGTGCAGTCCTGAAATAACAAAAACCGCGGTTACCTAGGTTAAACCTCGGTCTGATCGTGGTTGAACCAAGGTCAGACTGAGGTCGAATCGCGTTGCGTACAATTAATCTTAATAACTTTGTTACACACATGCTCAAATTTGCATTAGGTTTACTCTTACTAATTGTACTCACTGATTTAGCTATTCGCTGTGTTCATCATGAGTTCAATAAATAAAAGATAATTAAACGTATGATGTTAACTGAGTCCCGATTAAATCGGTTATAATGAATCTACCTACAATTTTTAATAATCGAATCCAAAATACAAAATGCGATTAACTGTCCCCAAAAGCAACGAAAAGTGCCAAAATGACCACGGTAGGCACAGTTTTCTTCATTTCTCGATCTATATAAAATAGAGTAGTATCACATTTTTATTTTTTATAGAAGAACTGATTTAAGCAGTAATGTTGTGAACAGTTGAGTGACACGTGCGGTTGGACGCGTGCGCACGTGAACATTTCTGTTTGCATGTACAGGGTACAAAGAGCACGATTGCGATGGCGAAAACATGTTGTTAAAATGGTTACACAAATATATTGTTAACTAAATATGTTAAAGGGTTCATATTTTAAAAATCGAAACTTCAAACTTTTATAACAAGTAACGTGAAGGTTAATATTAAATATCTACGGGCACCCTAATACAATGCCGTCAAAAATGATAAATTTGCTCAAAAATGATAAATTGGGATGCGATCGCTTTCCCGCTATATTTTGGCAATCTTCAAACTTTTGATATTTCGCCAAAGTATTGATAGCCTACACATGAAATAATAAGACTCACACATTTACATATGCACTGTAAAACCTGTAAAATGTCACGCAGTGTGCGAAAGGCAGAAATGAAGCAAATAATAAAATTCCATCATGGTTTGCACGCTCAACATTTTTATTAAACGACTTTATCGCTTTATAGTGCAATGTTTATCGCGTCATCATTGCACTAACTATACTTCAATTAAGGAAGTTGGAAGAGTGACATTTTTCCCAGGGAATAATTTTCCATAATCAAAATCGTGATTTCTAGCAATATTGATTGGATTTGCATGTTGTTTGGGAAAAAAATAACGCAACATTTATTTCATTTATATTGACGCACAATCTCGAAATAATTTTGCGGAACTTATACTTACTTCACGAAACTGACATATATCTTCGCTCGAGCAAGCTTTGAACTTATTGTTTCTTTTTCAAGACTTTTTATTGCTCCGTTGTTTCTCTGGCTCTGTTCTGTGCTAAGTGATTTCAGTTCGCGGTAAGTCGCAAGCATCAGCGTACATTATATCATGCTTAGCAGGCTGGGCTTTCAACTGCGACGGAAGGAGTTGAGATCGACCATTTGAAGGCTTTTTCTTCGCGAATTTATTTTGTATGCCGAATTTTCCTCCATGTAATTTACTATACACTAAAACATGTTTTCAATCTCAACTGTGTTTCAATGCACTGGTTTGTGGTCGAGACGCGCGTTCGGGAAACCATCGAAAACATACCTGAAAGAAGCGAAACTTGATTTTGAGATGCATGGTCTTCCTAGCAACAAAATCACATCAACTACCGACAGGTATTCAAGTAGGAAATATAAGAGGGAGCATTCAACAACAATTACAACATTAAAAATTGGACACAATAAGCGTCGTAATGAACGCGAAATCATCTGCCATTTTACGGAACCGGGGTGCATGCAAGGACAACAGCATGCATCGTTTATTGAAGTGATCTAGTTCAGTAATCTGGAAACGTGTGGGGAAAAAATTTCACGCAAAAAAAGGAAAGTAATCCTTGAAGATATTGCGAATTGCGATTGCGACTGCAAATATTTGAGAAGTACACATGTGGAAAAGTTGGTTGCCGTTCGGTTGAGTAGACCAATAGAAACCACAGACGACCACAAGAAAAAATCAGCACTTAAAAATACAGTTGGTTGCAATTCGCTTCTGAACGGAGTGCTATGCACAAAACTGACTACTCAAAATAACACGACAATTATAACCTAAAATCTCTGAAGCCTACGAAATTTAGTTCAGTAAGATAATTATAGAGGGCTTGAAAAGATTGTTGTTTGTCATGCATGACATGTACAGTACATGCACTGTAGAGAAATAACCTAACAAAAAGCGCGGTTAAACCGAGGTCAAACCGAGGTCGAACTCCGGTTAGACCTAGGTTGAATCGTTGAATCGCCGAATCACAGTTGCCAAATTCAGAATGGTCGTTGAGTCGCTAAAATGAATGCAAATACACTGGCGGTCAAAAAGAACTGCTCAAATGTTGCTATGGTCGTATGTAACAGGAATCGTAACAATCAATCTTTTATTGTACACTAGTGGTCAAAAAGAACTGTTTAGATACAAATTCATAAAGAAGAAGCGAATATAGGAGAGAGCTTCATAGGCATTTTGGATAATTCTCTTATTCCAAGCAATATTTCAGTAATGTAATGCAACCTGCCACACTTCCAAGATGACCGAACAATGGTTTCATGGGAAGAGGGAATGACAGAAATGGATTGGCCTGCACAGTCCAAATACCTTAACCCTATTAAAATCTGTGGGACAATGTCAAGGAGATAGTGCAAGAAAGGAATTAATTCATAAAGCGTTCATGATTTATGGGTTGCTTTAAAGACTGTCGATAGGATGAATTTCTTTTGACTATAACGTCTCTTATCATAACTCAACACTTCGTTATACTAAGACAGCTTTGTATATTTTTACCTACTAACTACAATGCATTCCTTTATATATACAACACAACCGGATGTGCAATTATTCATGAACATAATTACATATCATTACATCCCCCCTTCTCTGAAGAAACTATAATAGTTTTTTTTAGTGTCATTTCAAAGTTTTCATAAGGAACTATAAACTACATACTATAAACTACTGTTCAACGAAATATGTTCAACAAATTGTCCAAACAATGGATATGTCGATTAACCCATAGACTATATATAATGGTCTAACTATAAAAATAAACTAGTAAGTTAGGTCAGTTCCTAATATTACAACAATCTTGATATCGAGACGGTTTTCGAACAACTCTTCCACTTCGCGTTCTCAATTGACCATCTGAAATAACTTCTGTTGTTTTCGCAGCCGTGTGCTGTTCTTCTGGAACTTTCTCAATTTCTTCATCAGGTTGACCACTGGGTTGGACAATAACGGGATACTCACATGGTCGTTGCTCAATGTTCCTTGTAGTACTTGTTTCACTCTCGGGGGGATGGGCATTAAAGGGTGCTGTACTTTCCTCTGGTTGATCCCTTGAATATTTAAGATGACGTCGATTTCGTCTGTAAACTCTGCCATCTTCTGTTCGAACTTGATAGGAACGAATGTCTATTTTCCCTTCCACTTTCGCTTGTACCCATGGCTTACGCTTCTCTGCTATCTTTAATGGTTTTATACGAACGAGATCACCGTCTTTCAATTCAGGTAGCTCTTTCGTGCCTTTATTATAGTAATAAGCTTGCTTGCTTTTCTGTTCCAACAACTTACGTTCAAGATTTTTCGGAATACCAGGCTTAAGTAAGCTCTTAGCAATTGGCATTAATGTCCTCGTCCTACGGCAAAATAAACGCTGGACAGGCGAGTATCCAATTCCTTCGCTTGGGGTATTCCGCCAGTCAAGTAAAGACAAATACAGGTCTCTACCACTCTCTTTCGCTTTTTTCATTAACCGTTTAGCTGTCCGTACCGCATTCTCCGATTTTCCATTCGACTTCGGATATCCAGGGGAGCTGGTGATATGCTCGAACTCAAACTCTCTCGCAAACTCACAAAATACTCCTGAATTATAAGGCGGTCCATTATCAGTGATAAGCTGATCAGGAACTCCATATCTTGAGAAATGCGACTTCAGTTTTCCTATGACTTCGTCAGAAGTTTTGCTTCTCAATTGATCTAACTCAAAGAAATTGGAAAAGTAATCAACTGTCAGTAAAAAGTCACTTCCATCGTACTCAAACAGGTCACAGCCAACCTTCTCCCATGGCCGTTCAGGAATGGCATGACATGACAGATCAGAGGCTCTTTCTGTTGATCTTGTGGATAAGCGTTGCACGTTGGACATCTCAAAATATAGTCAGTAAGTTCTTTAGTCATTCCAGGCCAGAACACACTGTCTCATGCGCGTCTTAAACAGCCTTGCACTCCAATATGACTTGCATGAATTCTTCTTTTCATCTGTGGACTCGCTCCCAACGGAATAACTAATCGCTCTCCCTTGAAAATTAACCCATTCTGGATTGACAATTCATCGCGGAAGGTGAAGTACTCTCTCAGCACTGGTGGTACTTGCTCTTTCGTCTCCGGCCAACCTTGTCTGATAATTGTCTTCAGCTTCTCCAGATCGCTATCTACTTCTGTGGCTTGCTTGATCATCATTAAAGACTCTTCGGACACTGCAAGGTTGCTTATCATATCTATGCATTCTACATCTTCTTCAAGAGTACTTCCAGTTGACAGAATCTCTTCAACCTGCTGTGGTCTACAATCCCTCTTCAAATACGCGCGACTCAAGGTATCAGCAAGATACATCTGTGATCCCCTTTTATACTTCACCTCTAGATCATATTTCTGCAGCCGAAGCATCATTCTTTGTATTCTTTTTGGGGCACTGAGGAGATTCTTCTTCATGATGCTCTCAATGGGCTTGTGATCGGTTTCAACTTTCACGCGCCGTCCATAAACATACTGCTCAAATTTCTCAGTACCAAACACAATCGACAGCATCTCTTTTTCAATTTGAGCATACTGCTGTTCGGTACTAGTAAGTGATCGTGACGCGTACGCAATCGGTTGACCATCTTGCATCAGGCAAGCTCCTAACCCCTTCTCAGATGCATCACACTGCAACTCCAAATGTTGATCTGGGTCAAAATATTTCAACACCGGAGGTGACGACAAAATCTTCTTAATCTCACTGAAACATTTCTCTTCGACATCTCTTCTCCAGAGGAACACATTCTGCTCTACAAGTAGTTCTCTTAAAGGTGCTGTTACCGAAGACAAGTTGGGTGAAAATCTTTGTAGGTAGTTAACCATACCAAGCAGCCGTCGTACTCCTTGCTTGTTGATTGGACTCGGCATATTTTGAATCACCTCTAGCTTCGCTGGATCAGGACTCAGTCCTTCTGACGTGATCAAATGGCCCATAAAACTCACTTGATTACGACGGAACAACAACTTCTTTGGATTCAGCTTAATACCTTTACTTCTACACCTTTCTAACAAACTAACGAGCTTTTGGTCATGATCTTCTACCGCATCTTCGTAGGATTCACCAACGCCACAAATCAATATGTCATCACAGATAGCTCGAATTCCTTCCAACCCCTCCAGTGCTGAATCAAGATATCGTTGAAATTCTTCGGGAGCTGGAGATATGCCAAACGGCATCCGCTTCCATCTGTAACGACCCCATGGTGTTGCAAACGTTGTTAAATAGCTACTTTCATCATCTAACTGTACGTGCCAAAAACCATTCTTTGCATCTACCACTGAAAACACTTTGGCCTTTGTTAAACTGGGTAGAAGATCTTCAATATCTGGATGTGGATAGTGATTCCGTTTCAACGCTTTATTCACTGGTTTTGGATCTATACATAGCCTGATGCTACCATCCTTCTTTTGCACTGCGACCATAGCAGAAATCCAATCCGTTGGAACTTCTACTTTCGACAACACACCCAATTTCACTAGCCGATCTATCTCTTCTTTAATTGGTTTCTTGAGAGCAATTGGTACTTTCCGAACAGGCATTTTGGTGGGAGGAATTTCTTTATTAATTTTGAGATGCAGCTTCTGTTCAAATCGTCCTTCACCTGTGAAGATATCTTTGTACGTGCTAATGAATTCAGATCTTGTAGCAATTTTAGGTCTACTATGGGCTCTCCTCGAGTGGTCGGAAAACCTTTGGACCAACTTCGGCTTTACTTTGGAACTGCTTCGGGATGATTTCGGGTTGACGTCAGAACCTCTTTGACTTGACTTCGGGATATTTTCACAACGATTTCGGATTGCCTTCGAGTTCACTTCGGAATGTCGTCGCACAGTCATTACATTCTCCGCGTTCACTGACATTAGTTTGAATTTCTGGATGGTTTGAAACCCCAACAACGGTTTATAATCTTGATTCACCACCAAGAATTCAACCATATGCTTCATCTTGTTCTTTGGGTTGACGGTAATTATCTTTATCTTTCCCAGGACTCTTATTTTTGATTTATTGAACATCACCAATGTCGTTTCTGTCTTCTCCAAGTGCTCAAGCTCAGGATCCTTAAAGATTTCTCGATACAACTGCAACGGTAGAACATTCACGGTCGCCCCACTGTCTAACTGGAACTTCACAATCGTTTCATTCAGCGACATAATTATGAGCAAATATTCTCTTGGGAAACTTGGTTTCGCCGACAGACATGACTGATTCTTCTTTAACTGTCAGGACGTAATCTTCGTCCTCACTTTCAGACTGTTTTTCAACTCCATGAATATTCTTTTTCTCAGTTCCGGGTTTAGTACAACATTGCGACGCAAAATGATTTGCCTTATTACATTTCAAACACTTCTTTCCCCACGCCGGGCACTCTTCTTTAATTCGGCGATGAGTTTTGCCGCAAAATTTACATTTTACTATGCCTCGCTTGTTCTGTACGAGTTGTTTACGCTCTTGGACTAATCCCTTTTTTCCACTTCGTTGGGTTTCAGTGTTTTTCTTTCCACCTAATTTTGTGCGAAGGGCGTGAACTTCATCGGTTTGAGACATACTTTTTAACTGCTGGTCTGTAGTTTCACATACGTTTATTGAACTCTTGGACACTTTTGGACTATGTCAACATGTAAATGTGCCAACTCACTCCTCTGGTCATACACTGGACCTTATTATCACACGATCGTGTCTGGATATCAAAGTAACTGAACCTACTACCACCACATTTCTCTCGGATCACTTGTTCGTTGAATGTAAACTAGATGTCCCTCGACCCAATTTATCAGTAAAAGAACTTCGTTTTCGTAAGTTAAAATAGATAAACTTGAACTCTTTTAAAGGTGATATTTTGTCGTCCGAATTATATTCTAGGACAACCTGGCAGGATATTAATGAGTTGGCTAATTGCTATGACACCACCCTTATGCGAATATTGGAAAAACATGCTCCGCTTAAATGTAAGACTTTGGTTGTTAGGCCCAAAGTACCCTGGTTCAGCGATAACCTTAAGAAGCTCAAGCGGAAGCGAAGAAAATTGGAACGAATCATGTTAAGAACTCAATGTTCATGTGACAAAGAGGCATATCGCACAGTGCGTGACGAGTATTCATCCTTACTGAATGAAAGTAAAAGATCCTATTATGCTGATTTGATTGAAGATTGTGCAGGCGATTCGAAAAAACTTTTTCGAGTAATCAATATGATATCGAAAAAGCGTCAATCTAATCTACTACCACCTCATGATGATCCCTTTGTCTTGGCTAATCAGTTTGGAGAATATTTTTTTCGGAAGATTGAACTTATTAAAACAGAAATCGACAGTATCGTTACTGAGACTCCTGTTGTTGAGTACCCACAGCATGTTTCTAAGCTTGAGGCTTTCTCCCCCCTTTCTGACGAAGATGTACACAGAATTATTATGAACTCATCTAATGCCACTTGTCAGCTTGACCCTATTCCAACATCACTTGTAAAGTCATGTTCTGATGCTCTCGTTCCAGTCATTACCAAAATGGTGAATTTGTCTCTTGACGATTGTGTCGTACCCGATAGATGGAAAATTGGCCTTGTTTTACCTTCGTTGAAAAAGCAGAATCTTGACCTGGTGTTTTGTAATTTTAGACCTGTGATTAATTTACCATTTGTCTCCAAAATTTCTGAAAATGCAGTGTTGCAAGACATGTTAGATAACTGCTCAACTAACTCACTTATGCCATCACATCAGTCGTCTTATCGGAAATTTCACTCCACTGAGACTGCTTTGTTTAAAGTCCATAATGATATTCTCCTGAACATGGACCAACAAGAGATTACATTACTTGTTCTTTTAGACCTTAGCGCTGCGTTTGATACTATTGACCACACTATTCTGTTGAAAACCTTGGAATCCGACTTTGGAATAGTGGGGAATGCCCAGAATTGGATTGCTTCCTTTTTGTTAGGAAGAGAACAACGTATTGTTGTTGATCAAGTTCAATCAGATGGTCGTGGTTTAACCTCTGGTGTTCCTCAGGGCAGTTGCTTGGGTCCAGTGCTTTTTTTACTCTACACTTCAGAAATATTTAAAATTGTTTCAAAACATCTCCCTTCTGCTCACGGCTTTGCTGACGATACCCAATTATACCTTTCATTTAAACCAACGTCTTCATCCTCCCAGTTGGATGCTATTCGACTAATGGAAGAATGTATAGCTGAAGTTCGAGCCTGGTTAATTGGACACCAACTGCTAATTAATGACACAAAGACTGAGTTTCTGATTATTGGTTCGAGACAGCAGCTGTCTAAGGTGACCGCTAACTCCATCAAGGTCGGAGAATCCATGATTATGCCGATATCATCTGTGCGTAACTCGGTACTTGGTTCGATAATCAAATGTCAATGAGTGTCCACGTTGGGAAAGTTTGTAGCAAGGCATTCCATAGTTTGTATAACATCCGTCAAATTCGAAAGTTTTTAACTCCTGACTCGACGAAAACACTAATTCACGCCTTAGTCACTTCACATCTTGACTATTGCAACTCTTTGTTATATGGTATACCTCAGTACCAATTTAATCGACTGCAGCGAGTTTTGAATGCTGCTGCTCGAGTTGTCTGTGTTGTTCCTAAGTTTGGGCATATCTCACCAATCTTAAAGGAGCTGCATTGGTTACCTGTTCGATATCGCGTGGAGTTCAAAATTGCTCTCCTTGTTTTCAAAGTGTTACATGGGGAGGCACCTGCATACCTTGTGAACTTGCTTCAATTAAAGGACGTAGGAACCTATCGTCTAAGATCTAGCGGGCAGAAACTACTCGTTGTTCCTAGAACAACTTGTAAAACATTTGGAGACCGTGCTTTTTTTAAAGCTGGTCCTGTTGTGTGGAAT